ACATTTAAACGTAGACAGTTCTACCTAAACACTAGTACGTCAACTTTCTTTAAAACGACTTTCGCTAATTTCAAAGTTTCACTGAACCATCACATTAAGCATTAGCATTACGAGCTTCTCCCTCTTCTCTCCTCTTTCCTGCTCAGGTGCGAAATGTTGCATTATCCGTCAGCCCTCGTTTAGTGATTAATGTACATGTATTTAAGTGTATTTATTTACTTGCGCTGGAGGTGAGGATTAGTGCCTCCAGAGGCAGCGGTACCTGCACCCACGAGACATCATTACCACTATAAGTTAGCCAGCCACCAGTATCGGTGCGGGCCAACCGATAGGTACTTCAGTTAGCCATCCCCCCGGAATTTCCCGAGCCCCCAAAGGCGGAAGCTAGGGAGGCTTGGGTGACTGAACGACGAAGTTAAACCAACTGAAGCCCATGGCACCACCAAAAGATCACGTTTTCAAAAGATTTCCCACTAAGCCGACACACCCACGAGGAACAGACTCTGGTATTGGCTTCTAATAGTTAGGAAATGTGAAGTTAGCAAGAGACCAGCAGCCACAGTTAATAATGTATCCCGGGGCCAGAGCGGCGATGTTGAAGTCCTATTTAAAACTGCTGGTGAAAGATAAACTAAAATATCAATAAAAGTTATTCACGTCGGCGTAATGACACCCCGATTTACGCCAATCGGAGGTCACTAAATTAATTGTGGAGTCGTGTGTAGATAACGCAAAAAGAACAATGTAGGACACCAGTAGTTTCTCGTTGGACCTGCCCAATGTGACCCAGTGTGACGATGTATAGCCGCATGTCATACATTCCACCTGCTGGCTGTTGAGGTGTGGTCCAGAAAAGATGTTGGATCATGATATACTGCAGCCTTTTTAGGGAAAAACGTTGGTCTGATTGTGGAGAGAACGGCATCATCCCACTTTGATGGAGCGCTCTCTTATCCTAGGAATATGTTTATTTTCCTAAAAGCTGAACCCAGCCAGAGTTGGACAGAAGCAGAGCTGCTGTCTTACACACTTCTCTGCACCTTCCACTAGTACTATCACCCACCCAAAACCCATTGAACTGCGTCTGTCACGAACCACTCAAAATGTTTAAAAAATAAATCCAACATGAGTTAACATGAAAACCTAGATAAAAATAAAACCAACTCCTCTGTAGCACAAACATAAAGAGGAAATGGACTGTGTAATAGTCAGGTCTCTGTCCTCTAAAGCTGTTTTAGTGAATGAAATTAATATCAAGATTATGATATTGATTTAACCGTTGGCTTACTGAGACCTGGTTGGTCCCACAAAGGAGTGATTAGCCTATAATGAATCCACCCGTCAACAGTAATATCACATCACCCGAGGCACAGGCCGAGGAGTGGAGTGAGCGCCATAATATGATTCAGCGTTTTAATGGACCCAAACCTAAAACTAAATAAATTCGTTTCAAAAGCATTGTTTAAGTCATTCTCACACCCACAAACTGAAAACTCGCAGCCCAGTTCTATTCGTTATAGTGTACCCGTGCTCCCTGGACCGTACGCTGATTTTATTTGAATTCTCAGAGTTTTTATCAAAGCGTTAGTCCTAAATAAGTAAATTATTGTAAATGATTTTAATACCATGTGAACGTTGCATAATACAGCCTTAAGTAACGCACTTTACCTTCATTAATAGAGCTCTTCAATTGCTTCTGTCAGAGTGTAAATGAAACCCAGCTTTCATTGTTTTAATCACACTGTTGACCTTGTTCCTATCATAATGGCATTGAATTGAAAGAGGAGATAGTGTTCCTAACATAATCCCCTCCCTATCGACCATTATTTAATTAACTTTGAATTCTATTATTAGAGTTAAAGCCATGAAGCAAAAACCTCCTAAACAGCAGATGTCTATCCTGACGGTGCTGTAGCTAAATTAAGGAGGAGATTCCATCATGTTAATTCAATGCCAAATAATCAATATAATAAATACATTTATTTTAATAATAATACATTTTATTTAAAGAGCGCTTTCTGAAATACTCAAAAGACACGTACAATATAATAAAAGAAGAATACAAGAACATCAATAGTAAGAAAACAATATAAAAGTACATTACATAGTAGAAAACACATTAGAACTCAGATTTTAAAAGCTAATTTAAAAAAGAATGTGTTTGTCCAGTGATTTGAATTTGGAGGTCAGTACAATCACGATGACTTTGGGAGAAGAGTGTCTAAGACGGAGGGCACTACAGAAGAACGCTCTGTCGGACCCAGTTCTGGGTTGCCTTGGTCCGGGGTGGTGGAGTCAAGAAGGTTGCGCGGATAGCGGAAGCTGCGGGATGGATTGTGGTGAATGGAGCAGTCAGTGAGTAGGAAGGAGCCTGAGTATATGGAGGGCTTTGTGAGAAAGAGAGGATTTTGAACGAAATCCTGTGGAACTGAGCCAGTGGGAGGTTCTGGAGGACGGGAAGTGATGTGATCACCGGGTGCGGGTTGGGTGAGGCAAACGTGCAGCGAAGTTTGGATGTACTGTAGCTTATTTAGAGTTGGATGGTGTGCCATAGAGGATGCTGTTGCAGTAGTCCGAGACAGACGAACCTATATACTTTAGTCACTCCCAAATTGATAATCTTGTTAATAGTGCTGCAGGCTCTCACAAATCAAACATTAGATTTCTATTGTTGAACAGAAAATAATAAAACATACGGAAACTAAGCACTGTGGTAAGAACAAACCAAACTCGTGGACAAGGAAATCAGAAGGAAATGGCACGCTTCGAAAATATTAGAAATCGCTAATTTGGCCAAAAATACTCTTAAAAAAATTATAGAAAGGACCTACGTAATGCCCAGAAGGAACCCTATTACTTAGCACTAATTAGAAGAAAATAAGAACAACCCTAAAGGTTCCCTTCAGCACTGTAGCCAGCTGACAGAGAGTCACCAGCACAGCTCTACTGAGCATGTATTTTCCCCATAGCACGTTAAGAGCAATGAATTCGTGAACTCTTATAATAAAATATTACGATTGGAGAGAAAATTAAGTCCCAAAAAATACCCTCAAATGGTATCCAGGCTCTCCAAGATCAGAAAAACTTTAACTAAATGCAACCTATCAGATATATAATTTAGAATGTTTTTCTGCTATTCAAAATTCAATTCAAATCCAATTTTATTTGTATAGCGCCAATTAATAAACAGAAGTTATCTCCAGGACACTTTCAAAAGACAGGCTAAGACCGAACTCCTTTAACAAGACCAGAACTCCTTTTATACAGACCGAACTCCTTTATCGGTCTTCGTTAAACGGGTAAATAACCGCTGTGACGAGTAAAACAAATTTATATTTAGCGTGACAGAGCTACAACACCAAAGAGTGTACACAGAGCAGGAAGTAACCAGAATGAATGATAATTTCTGTTTACGCACAGATTGCTCCTGCTGACGAAGCTACAACATCTCCAGGTGAAGCAGCTCCATCGGTAACTATCACTTAAATATTTTACTAAACTTGAACATGAACTTGACAGTTTTTCCTAAACGGCAATTGGTTGTGCAGTATTAATAAAATTCAATAGCACATCAACTTGTCAGGCAGATGACACAAAAGATACAATATGTACCAGAGATAAAGACTATTTCAGTTACACTTAATACAGAAAAGTCATCGGCAAATGTGAACACTGAGGTCCTTGAAGGGTTTGAAAACTGTTTGGGATTTTTTTTCAATACCACTGATTTCTTAGTTCTTTGGTCACATTTTGTTGTTCTTGTTTCTTATTGTAAGTTGTTAAAGCCAAGCTTTATTTGCAGTTATTTTAATGTATTTTATTTTTCTAAAAAATAGTTTTTCATATAACTAAATGTAATCCACAAAATTAAATTAAGTAACTGAGAATGCCTTTGCTGTTTCTGTAATACCATGTAAAGTACCTTTTAAAGCGTTACATAAAATAAATGTATTATTATTGGTAGTAGTAAATTATATTTTTTCCTATGCAGGAAAAGATGCCAATCCCTTCTGTGGTGATTGAGCCTGCCTCCAGTAACGAAGGTGATGATGACCGTGATGCTGACATAATCTCTCCCACCGCCATCAGTGACAACGGAGTGACAGCTGAGAACCAGACCATCAAACACATGAGTCCATCTGGTGGAGCGTCTGGGCTCCCTGATGACTTTCTCTACAAGGTGGCAAACTAAAATAATACACTATTGCTTTTACATAAATAGTTAACATGCTCACTTTGTTGGTGGTGCTGTTTTTCTGCCTGCAGGTGGAGACGATGCATGACTTTGAGGCTGCAAATTCAGATGAGCTTGAATTGAAGAGCGGTGATGTGGTGTTAGTGGTTCCCACTGCTTCAGTAGAGGATCAGGTGAGAACAACTGATCACACTTTAAAGTCCAGTAGTTAGAGGACAGCAGTATCCTGGAAGACAGGAATAAGTATAATCTGAACTGTAATTGAGGCTGGCAGTGATGTGAATGTGGTTGTTTTTATAGGATGCTGGTTGGCTCACAGGGATCAAAGAAAGTGACTGGTTAACACGTGGAGCGGGTGCACAAAAAGGACTTTTCCCAGAAAACTTTACCCAGCGTTTGGAGTAAGAAAGGTCTTCAGCTGGTGGAAAAAATTAAATGTTCAAGACTTCAGTGTCCAAGCTGTCCAGTCAGCATGTAGCTAACCTTTGAAAACACCGTATAACCTGCTGCAGCTGTCTGCTGGACAACACAAGGCTTCCTCTGATAGATGAAACTAAAACTCTTGGTAATAAAAATCTAGTACTATTCCCAGCATAACTGAAAATTAATAAGCATGATGTGATAGTATGGTCTACCCTCCTCTGGAAGTGAGTTGTGTGTTTTTTGTGTCGAAAGAAAAAAAAGATGTGTGATTTATTGGGAATGTTGCAATCTCTACATGTTCACACCTACAAAAGGGAGAAAAACGTTTTCTGAAGAAAAAAAAGAAAAACGGTACCCTCTTTACACCGAGTATGTTACTGATTTCATTGCTCTACTGTGGAATATACCAGAATCTATAGTGCTGTAACTTATTTAAATGTTCTTGAGTATATCATGAAACTCTTGATTTTGTTGGTTCTTTCAGACTGTTACTCTTGAATCACTGTTAGTGTATTTCTGTAATATCATGGTTACGTGTGTGGTGATCTTTTTTTTGGCAGATGTAGTGATGAATCAACTCTTCAATGAGTGTTGCTGTGTTTTTGCCAAATGACTACTGACATTTATTATCTGAGCACTGGTAAACAAACTAGTACACATCAGCATGACAAAGTATTCTAAGATGAAAAAATAAAGAATCTGCCCTCTATTGAAAATATCATTGTATAGTTGTATAAGTCATCTGTTTCATGAAAAGTATATTTTCAAGAAATGGAGCCAATCAGAAGACAGTTTCATCTCATCAGCTATTTATTTATCAATCACAGGGAAGGTATTAATAAAGGCAATATGCAATCTGTGTTGGTTTATTTCAGGTCTCCGCATTCCAGCAGTTCTGTAGATCAACAAATGTGATGTCACTTTCTTTGATAGTGAATTTCAACCTCAATGTAGACCTTTTTGTGATGTATATACCATAAACATTTATGTCAAGATCAATAAATAAGACTTCATAAGGTATAATTTGTCAAGGTTTTGTGGCTGCAATAGTGGAGGTTTTGTATCGACTATTCTCCAAAAACTTTGTGAAGCGTTAGAACGTAGCTTTTTTTTTTAAAGGGTTAGGGTTAGGTTTAAAAAAGGGGAGAAGATGGTTTAGGAAGCGGGAAGTCCACTGACTCTCTCCATTGCACAGGCACATGGGGTTCTCTTTCTTTATTTTCAACAACAATTCACAGTCAACCACAACAACAACAAAATCAACAGTAGTGTACTTCTTGGTTTTCGGGGGCCAGAATACCATTGCTGGTAAACTGGTCCCCCTCCATCCACCACCATTGAAAAAATAGCCTGTAGAGCTTTCCTAGCCCAGATGGTAGACTGGGCTTTTCTGTTTTGACCATCTACAACTGATTGTCTCCGGTCTGCAGCCCCCCAGTTTAGAGGACCTCATTGAGGCCAGTAGGAACTCCTGTTTTTAATCTGGCAATCCAGAGCCTCTTGGCCCGCACTCTCTGGGCTGCAGACCAATGGGGCTGGCCTTCCAGGCCTGCAATTATCAAGTTATCAGCCCCATGTGTCCGAAAATGATCGTATAGTGCAGACACTNNACACTTTAGTGGATTTGTTGATGTGATAGAGATGCTGTTGTAATCGGTACAACAATTTGTTTTGTGTTTGTCCGACATACAGCTTTCTACACAACTTACACTCAATCAAATACACAACATTATAGGATTCCAGCTGGATCCTTTGCCAGACTGGAGCATCCGATGTTGTGTATCTATTAGAAGCAAATGTAATCACTCTAAAGGGTCTGTTTCTATGTTGTGGTGTATTAGATGTTAGGGAGGCATGAACCAACAAATCTTTTAAATTTTTATTCCTCCTGTAAGCAGAAATGACTCTAAAATCCGAGAGAGGATCCATGACACCTTGAAGCCTTTTAAAGTTTGTTTTAACACAGGAATTAAGTTTGAGAGACGCCGAGGAGAAGTTGGACACCAGAGGAACCAAGTTTTTATTCTGTTCCACTCTGGTGATCCACTCTCCATCCTCAAAGCCTCTGTTCACTTCCATCTTGATAGACCTCAGAAAAGTGCGACTATAACCTCTCTTCTTGAGAGCACTAAAGAGCGTTGTCGTTGCCTTTTCAACATCATCACGCCTGCTACAGATCCTATGAAACCTTATAAGTTGGGATTTAACAATCCCCTTAAAAGTATGTTTAGGATGAAAGCTGTTCTTATGTAACAGAGCGTGTGTGTCAGTGGCTTTAAAAAACACTCTGGTCCCTAATGTCCACTTTTCTGGGTCTTCTTTTATGATAAAAACTTCAGTGTCCAAAAATTCAATCTGTGAGAATTGTAAGTTATATTTAACTTTTATTGAATCATGATGGCTATTCAGAGTGTCAATGTAATGTTTAAAATCCAACTCTGAATAAGTCCAAACTCCAAATATGTCATCCAGATACCTCATATAAAGAAATGGAGTTTTAGTGCACTTGGGGAAGAGAGTTCGCTCCCAGTCAGCCATGTAAATATTGGCATATGCTGGGGCGAACCTCTTCCCCATGGCCGTACCGTGTATCTGGAGATAAAACTTGGAGTCAAAGACAAAGTCATTTCGTGTCAATCCTAATTCTAAAAGCTGGAGAAGGGCCTCATCTGGTCTATGCGGATCTGGATAGCGGTCAAAAACTTGTTAAACTGCCTTCAGGCCAAGTTTAGTGTTTATATTTGTATACAAGGCGTCTATGTCAACAGTGAAGAGCATGGCTCCAGAAGGGACAACAATGGTTTGGATCTTATTCACAAACTCATATGTGTCTTTGATATAACTTTCATGCTTTTGGGACAAGGGATTCAAAAAACTGTCGACATATTCAGCGACTCTACATGATTCACTCCCACAGTCGGAGACAATCGGTCGGCCCGGGGGAATAGTGTATGGAACCGTCCAAGTGCTCGGATCCTTATGGATCTTTGGGAGCAGATAAAATTTTCTTGGACGGGGAGGATCTTGACCAAACAAATAAAACCTTTGTTTGGAAGAGATGTATTTCCTCCTGTACAAATCCTCCACAATCCCCCGGACCAGGACTTGAGTCTCCGACTGTAGGGAGTGAGAAAGTGTACACATTATGTAACTGTCTGTTTGCTTCAATAAGATATTGTGTTTTGTCCATAATCACAATCTTAGAACCCTTGTCCGCAGGCTTAATAACTACATCATGTTTCTTTAAAAGGTTATCCAATGCTCCCCTCTGTTCACTAGTCAAATTGTCTGCCTCCCTCCTGGAGCCATAGCTCCTTTCCAGTTCTCTCCTGTCCCAGCATATCAATTGTTGCAATGGTTCTGGGACCAGTTCCCATTTGGGTTCCCACTTGGAGGATTCTATGAAAGGTTGAGAGGCAGACTACAGAGAATTCAAAATGACACAACAATTTAAGACGCCTATGATACTCGTACAAATCTCGTTTAAGACCATCTTTATCCAGTCGCAAAGGTGTCAGAATAAAAGAGAGGCCCTTCTCCAGCACATCCTGTTCATCCTGATTCAACACAAAAATTTCCGACAGGTTCAAGATGTTAGAAGGCGTGGGGGTGAGAATTGTCGTTTCCCCAGTCTTTAGTTTAACTGTCTCATCCAATAATGAAAGATCTCAGAAGCCTTTTTGGTGTTCCAATGTATAAAATCTCGGTCATGCACCTGAAAGAACTGGTCTTCCACCATTTTTAATATTGTAAATTGCTGTGCCAAAAAGATGTTTGTTTGTTTTGCCAGCTGTTGTGTTCTGTAGGAGAGCTTGTCTGAACATTAAATCAAAGGCACATATATATGTGCGTTTGGAAATATCCTCCGAGTCAAAGCCACCAACTGTTGGAACTGGGTTAGGTTTATAGGAATGAATTTGGTGAGCCTAAATTAGGTTTCCGGTGCACTGGCCTGGGGGCGTGCACTCCATCGTGCTGACCCCACCTCCCTGGAAATCAAAATAAGATTAATCGAAAAACAAAATGTGTAAACAAAAACAAATAGTTTTAAATAAATAAGGGGGAAGAGATACAGAAGGAACAAAATATGTTCTGTTTGATGGTCCGGGTAAAAGAGGATTCACAGGTGCAGCTCAAAAAATGTACATGGGTATGACAAAACTCAGACAGGATGTTTGTAGATTTGTGTGTGAGACAGTCAACCAAACATGTACTATGGACCAGGATGGAAGAAATTGACACAGGAAGGGAGGTAGGTATTTTAAGCAAAGCAGATTATTTTTTATTTTTTATGGATTTATTAATTGAAGTTTAATAAATAATTTGCTGTGTATTGCTGTGTTTCCAGGTCTGGTGTTGTGGTCC